TCAGGGTAACTAAACACCAGTTCTAGCCACACTGCAGTAAGCTAATACAACACATTACAACATTAAAATATTATTTTAATTATTTATCTTAAAAATAGCTATATTTGAACTAGTGGAATACTGTGTCAAGTTACAGCACAGACCTTAACTTGCTAAGCATGTGGTCAGGAAACATTTGGGCTTAGTGTCAATTGATTATATGAAGTAGCTACAATATTTCTATTGCTTGCTGTATAGGTAGCTAACACATAAGCCAAGGTCTACAGCAGTATCATACATTGAGTGTATGTACAAACTGTATGAGTAGTAAAATAGGTAAAACAATGTAGTAAATAAGTAGTAATTAATATGGAATAATATAGTGAAACAGGGTATTAAAATGAATAACGTAAAGAGGAAAATTACTGTGAAAGGGTTTCAGAATGTTTATGACATTTTTAGAGTTATGCTTAAAATTTACTTGCATCCTAAGCTCTTCATTTACTGCATTCTTAAATTTATTTTGCACATTTTGAAACGTGATCTGGATAAAACTATTAATAAAGGAGTCTTTTAACACTTCCTCTAACCATGTTACACACAAACAATCCCTGCAATTCACAGGTCAATTCCTCTAGCATCAAAGACGCAAACAAACAAGGTGAAAGTGAATGAGCCTTTGGAAGCAATAACAGAGTGAGAGGGAATGCATTTACATGAGAAAACAGAGGACCACATTATTCTAGCAACTACCTTTGCCAGACCAATCTATCTACCAAATTAGTTTATCGTGTAATACCCTTCCAGAAGCTCTTCTGGCAGAAACAAGATATTATTCTCTTGGAATGGCCCACAGAAAGAGGGAAAAGCCAGTCAGATTCATATTTCATCTCTGCCATGGAAACCTCATCAGTGTAATAACCCTCCATCTCATGGGTGTTATTCAACCATCTGCTACTATATTACTTATCTTTATTTTGCAACTAATTAACAGCATAATCTTCTAAATTCAGCAAGTTAATTATCATTATTGTGGTCTTTGCAGCATCATCAGTCCTTGTAAAGTGCCGTCTCCGCGCCCCCCGAGAGCTAGGTGGGGGCGGGGAGCGGGCAGGTTGAGCTGGGGGTCTGTTTTCTTGACGCAGGCTCATTAGGTGTTTGCTGATGAGCTGAGTGCGGTGGGAGGCGCCGCGAGTAAGAGGGGGGATGCAGGTCAGGCAGGATTCTGCTGAACAAAAGGTTCCATGCAGGGTGAGGCCGACTTAATGTGCCTCGCTGAGCGTGTGCCAGGATGCCCCCAGCTGGCTCTCGCAGGTAGCCCCCCTCTGGTTGGCCCTTGTGACGGCGTGCTGAGCTCAACGCTGTCTCTGCGTTTGTCATCTCCATACCCCATGATCCCCGACAACTCCCTGCCCCTCCCTTTACTCCTTCCTCTTCCTCCTTCTCACGAGTCAGGATCAATCCTACCCTCCCAACACACACAAACACACACACCTCCTCTCTGCAGTTTAGCTGCTAATTTCCAAAGGCGGAGCATGCTGCGAACACTTACAGGTTCTGTGATCCGTGCTTCATCACATTGCCACTGATTTCCCACATAACACTTTGTATCTCTGCCCTTCAACTATCACTGTTAATACAGGACAACAAGACTGCTGCGACCATGTTCTCCCTACAGAGAGATATCTGAAGCATTTTTGGTTTTTTGTAGATGGATTATGTTAAATTAGCAGGGCAGGTACAAGTGTTTTTATTCTGTTCCTTATTAATTCGCAAATTATTTTCTCAAATAATTGATTAATCATTTATTTATGTCACAAAATACTGAGTAAATCAGCCAATGGACACACTGCACATGGAATAATAAATAATCTGCACCATTTTTTTTTTTGATACCACAAACCCAGTTCTGCTCATCACTTATGAAGAAAGCAACCTTATTGTCTTATTGTTACTCATTAGACTCTCTCATTACCTTGGCTGTTATCACCTCTCTCAAATGGGGAATAACAGCTTCGGTGTGGAAACAACATTTGATGTAAATTAAAGAAGAGATAATAAATACCAGCTTTGCTTCTGACTGGGCCGGCTGAGGCTGTGGCGAGGGAGGTCCTGGGATTCCAGGGACGTTAGGCACTACGGTGACAGGTCTGACAAGCTGACAGCAGACACACAGACACAAATCAGCACAGAGAAAATTAGTCTTCGGCAGTAAAAAGGCACCCAGTGCTCCCCCCACAACGTAAACATACACACACATACACACACAGCCATGGCAGGCTCTCAGAGTTTCCTCATATCTCAGCCTCATTAGGTTGGATGGCCTGTTATTTTGTGGAGGCAGCGCCACATGGAGATGCAGTGTGCACGCTAATGAACCTCTGCCTGCCTGCGTGAGAGCATATGGACAGGGAAGCTGAAGAGAGGATGGAGAGACATGAGTCAGAAGGCCAGACTTGGGCCTCCTCTCACAACCGCTGACAATGAGACAGAGGGAGATGGGAAGAGCTGGGGGGAGGGGGTTGAGTGAAAGGGAGGCCCACTGGTGGCTCATGTTCTCCATCTACTTTTGCCCTCCTTTACTTGTCAAAGGCTTTCCATATCCCCACAGACCAGGAAGACAGAGGTTTTCCCTGCTGTGCCTCTATCAGGAGATAATCGACTGCTGCTCAGTGTTCCACATAGATAATCAGGACTACAGCGAACAATAAGACAGGCAACCACATGGGAGAGTTCAAGAAGTACCAACAAGCCCTTCATTTACAACATATTTCTAGATGACACGCAGCCACGCTGTTCGCAAAATAAACGAGTGGCATCATCTATGGCTTCCACTTTAAATTACGGGCGCTGATTTTGATTGTACAAGAAAAAACAGGAGTAAAACGTGCTGGACAGAAGCCCGCTGCACCTCAGCCAAATCCTGTGTCTCTGCCACAAGTGAACTCTAAAGTCCATTATTTCAGTCAGCCTCTCCAGCTTTACACTGACTGCCAAATCTGAGGTGCCAATGTTGTAAACAGTCCCTCTGTCCAACTATAGCAAAAAAAAACCAAACAAACAAAAACAACAAACAAAAAAAGAGGTTAATTTAATGTATCGCAATAGCTCAATATCAATGTCATCCGAGAGGGATTTGAATTGTAATCACTCGCGTTGCTGTCCATTACTGTTTGAAAGCAACAGTGGAATTCCTGTGTTTTCACGTTAAATGGAAAACAACATTTCACATGGAAACTGGTGATCAGTCGAGCATGAAATCAATCGACTCATTTGGTGAAAACAAATGCTTTCGTTCATTAGTTAATTCCTTCTTTTCCATGGAAACAGCAGTTGGCGACTGACAACCGGGCACATTACATCTGCCGCAGAAGCTCAAAAGCTGCACAACAGCTACTAAATAAACTTCACAACAAGATTATTTCAGTAATAAATAGCTCTGACTCCTCTATTTGTCCTGTAAATAATGGTTGCTGCGCGTTGATCCGTTTAATCAAATAAACACCAAAATATTCAGCTTCTACACAAAAGTGTTTTCACACATGAACTCCGGAAAATGTCGGGATAAACACTGCTTAAAAATTACCTTTTTTAAATACAGCATACAGCATAAGATAATTTCCTTCAGCTGCATTCTCACTCCTTGAAATACTCTGTGTGGTTTCGGTGGGGGAGCTGCCTAACTGGAGCATGCAGGTAACAGGTACTAGACGACTACCTGCTAGCTGTGAATTCACAAAAATATTACCTGTGCTTCTCACATCAACACAAGACTTTGTATCACAGAGCTGGCAGGTTAAGGGTAAAGACTGGCTAACATTCACATTCACAAAAGCACCTCTGCCAGATGATATCAGGAAAAGTTCTGCCCCGTGCATGTGTGAAAGTAGCATAAAAGCACAATGAAACACAATGCTGACAGAATATTACTGGGCATAAAACTTACAGGAATTGTAGTTGGAATATGTACACTTGAGCTTGTAATAGATGCAGGTATAGCAACTGGCATGGTCTGGCCATTAGGCAGCTGTAAGAGCACGGGGAAGGTACCAGACACTGGGCTGAAAGAGGAAAGAGGGAATCACAGTGAGGCAAACAGTAATCTTTGCGATTAACACAAAATGGAATATGTCACAAATTAAAGACAGGAGCAACTACAAATATACAACATGATGTCATATTCAGGCAAACTGATGGAAATTAAGGTGTAATCAAGACAAAAAACAAACAAACAGAAAAAGCACCCGTAAGAAAAAGAGTTAAACAATATCTTCAAAAGATCCAGTATTACTGCTATATTATGACCTAATAAATGACATCAGTATTGCCCAGATATTGACTTCTGGTAACAAATTGATTTCACTGTCAAGAAAACACACAGGGCTTCACTAAATCATCTGTGTCAGGATTTCAAATATTAAAGAATATCTACTATTAAAGGGAAAGGCCTCTTGATGGCTTACTGTGAGTACGACAAGCATTTAGCACCTGATTCACTGACCGTCTATGCCAGCGAAAAAATCCTGTTTTAGCATTAAGTTTGTGACTGAAAGGTGTTTCCCTTTTAGAGAGAGAAATCTGAGAGGAGAGTATTTAAATGAATTATATAAACATGACTTATTGTGGTTTGTGGCATACACTATTTAACCCTGAAATAAGCATGCCTTTTTCAGTGCCTGACATAGCAAGGATAGTTATAGTTGTGTATAGGAGAGTTAATTCAGGATAAATTGGCTTGGGGTGGGTCACTCAAAGCTTTGGGTGCAGGTGTCAAAGTTTTGGCTTTCTCCTGCAGATCTTCACTGAGAGCTTAAGGTTCAGTGTCAAAGGCTGTGACTGAGACTCTGACTTTATTTATCTCCAGAGTTGGGAAATTACCTTGTTATAGCTCTCAAAGACATAAGTTCAATAAAATGAAGCTCAGAAAATTAATGCAAATGAATCAGACTTCATCCTTGTATCAGAACATATTAAATCTCCTTCAGCCATCTTTCTTTTATCTGAGTTTCTAAGCTGTTTCTGGAAAGAAACTCATAAAGTGCAAAGCCCACAACCTACAGCTCCTACTGTGTGCCTGTGACTCCCACTGCTCGTGGTACATCACACTGGTCATTATTAAAATGAAATAGCTGCATCTGTGTTCAAAGATGAACAACATGAACACTGTTAGCAGATCACCTGCAGAACTTTCCACGCTAATTTGCCCTGCTTAGTAAATCATGTGCACAATAATGAAAGTAATGAAGGTGCTGCTATGTCAATTTCATCTGCTGGAGGAAAAGCTGCAGTGTGGGTTTTTATAAACTGATTAACTAAAAAAAAATTAGTCTTTCAAGAGACAAAAGAGGTTGCATGGACTAACATGTGGGACATCAGCAGGAAGAAAACCATTCCACTCAGTATAATTGTGAGTGCAGTTAGCATTTTGCGACCGACTGAATGAAGTTTTCTTTGGTTAGCCTTGTGAAAAATAAATAATTCTAACTAGGTTTTGATTTTGGCTCTCTGCCAAAGACGATAATCAGAGGATACTGGAGCAAAATAAAGCACAAGAATTGCTGTGACGGTGATGATCGTGTGAAAACCCCGTTCATGTTTTTTTCTCTAAGTCTCAGATTTTTCATCGATATTTGCATATTTGAGCAACACTGATTTTGTTCTTCAAAGACGGAACTTAGAGCCAAAAGAAAATGTTCCTGCAGAATGCAAATAAATCCCAAAACAAATAAGCACATGCCTCATGAAATATGAGCTCACCATGGCAAAACTGCACAAAAATGATTTGGAAAAGGAAACGATGATCTAATAGAACTAGGATCTTAAGAAACGGACACATTTGGTTACTTACACTATAGGCCTATTAGTAGATGGGACTTGGGTAATAACAGAGCTAGATGTTGGCGATGGGAGAGCTTGCTGTATTACAACATTAGCGTCTGAGGTTGCTAGAAGTACATTGGGAACTTGGAGGGATGCAGGATGGACTATAGTGGATGTTGGCAGTGAGGCTGGCCGCAAAGATAAATCCTGGAAACATCATAGAAGATCTTAGCTGAATGAAGTGTTTAACTGACACCAGATTACTTGAATGTTTCCTATAATAAGATGCTGTCACTCTTTCCTCAACATCAGGAATAAATAATATGAGCAATCAAGTAAAAGGTATTTGTCTGAATCCAACTAATATTTGTGTAGTACTGCTAATCTTTTCAGTTTTAGTGTATTAACAACAGAATAAGACAAGTTAAGAGTTCAAAATTAAATTATATTAAGCAGAAAGTCCCAATGCTTCACAAAGCGGATTTGCAAATTTCTGATCGCAGGAGTAGAGAACGTCCTTCATTAGAGCGTTGTAAATGCTCTATGGTTAGAAAAAATGCCAGAGGCAGCTTAAAGTGCCTACCTTGTCATCATTTGTAGTAGACTCAGGATGAGGCAGAGGGCTATCTCGATGTGTCTCTATCACTGTGGGCTCCTCAATTTTGTTGCGGATGATAGGTGTCGCAAGAGGTGACAAATCTAGGGGTAGCTGTGGAACAACAACAAGCCCAAAATGATCACAAGAGTGAACACAGACATGGCTCAGGTGATCTGCTTACACATTTAACAGTGAGAACCACCTTTTTAATTTCATCTTCAGTGGCTTTTTTGAAGTCATGGTCAAAAGGACTGGCGAGTTCATTGAAGAGCCCGACCTCCTCGCAGTTCTTCAGGAAGCGAGTAGGCGTTGGGGTTTGGTCTGCAAGGGAGGAAACTCTTGAGCTCAGAGACGGAAATGTAAAGAATCCATAACCTCTGAATATTCCATCTAACAGAGCACTCACCTGCAATGATAACACTGTCATTCCGAGCAGGGCCAAACTTCAGGGTCATCTCATGTTTGTGTTTGTGGACAGCCAAGTGGTCTTCATTTGTGAATCTCTATGCAAGGTTTCAAAAAATACAGCAAGTGTGACTGATGTGACTGAAAGAAGTCTTACTTAAACCTTAAAATTTAAATTCTGACCAATAATTTAGTCTTCTACGTCATGGCTGGATTCTAGCTTGACAGCTTTACGGCCTCTAACGTGTGGCTGTCGAAACTCATTATAAGCTTTAACTGCAAAAGCTGTTATATAATTGTGCCCAACCCGTTTATTTTTATGAGTATTGACTAAACAACAGAAACAAATCCTGCTGACCAAAACCACGAGCAACTGAGCAGCAACAAATCAACACTAATGTTACTATGAAAGCAGACTTGACTAAGTAAAATGGACTCTAACAAACACTGGACATTGGACTTCATGAGGTTAAATAGCACAATCTACGTATGTACTTATCAGACAACTCACTGAGTACAGCAAATACACATCTAACACCTGTGACACACTAGACTTGCCCTCAGAACTGTGAAAAGGATCTCAGGACTCTGAAGACCCATTTATATACATTAAGTCAAATTAGACATCTCCAGATATTAGATGAGCAGTAAGTAAATAAATGAAGAAGCTTATTTTGATCTATTTAGTCACGTTAATTTTGCTTTGATGAGCCAAAATATGAATATTTGTTTGTTTCCTATGCAGACAAGAGGGAATAATTACGATTAATTATTAATGATTGATTAATTAGATTATCATTGCTTATTGGTCAAATTGTCATTTAAATCACTGACAATGGTATTTGCATACATTTCACAAGTGGAGCATCTTTTTTTAAGATGACAGGTTGTGAGTCTTTTAGGACAATTTCAATACTTTTTGGATTCAGTTCATCTGAATTTTATGTATTTTAGCACAAAAATTAATTAGTTAAGTGTGGATTTTGACCAAAACCTACACTTTAGTGGGTTTTAGATCATATAATACATAGAGTATGTCAAAATTACTTTAAGAAAATCACAACAAAAAACAGAGCACCTGATTACCAACTAGGCATTGCAATTAAGTTCCTTAGAGCCCCAAATCAATGTATATGAGTAGGTGTTGGGAAGTGTACCCTATTATTAATGTTTCCAGTATTGTTATGATGGGATAGGTTTTGAACTTAGCTATTTAAAACCATTTTTAGCTATTTAAAACCATTTTTGCTTTAGTTTATAATGTGGTCATATGGCACTTTTTTTTTTTTAAAAAAAACTGTTTGGGTCTATATACAACATCAATGAAAAAGTGACCAGTTTGCAATGTATTTATCTATATATATCAGTGTATATATATTTTGGGGGGGGGACGTGGAAATGTGGATCCAGTCATGTTCATCTATACAGTGAGATTTATGAAACACCTGTGATCAAAAACTTACCTGTCCACACCCAGGAGCAGTACATAGGAAAGGTTTATCATCACTCATATTAAGGAATTCCTGTTACCTCGCCCTGAAATAACAAAAAAATTAAAATAAA